GTCAGTGGCGAGTCATCTTTGATGAAACCTTTAGCTTCAATGTCCTGGAGGGTTTTACTGACCTTATCTTCAATATGCCTTATGTATTCTGGTTTGATGTTTAGGTCTTTAATCCATTTCCATCTGACTCTTGTGCATGGTGTTAGGTAGACCCCATTTTTTTTCCATGTAGCTGTCCAGTTTTGCCAGTATCATTTGTTAAAGAGGCTTTCCTTGCTCCACTTCACATTTCTTACTCCCTTATCAAAGATTAGATGATCATGTATTTGAGGGTGTGTGTAAGGATATTCAACCCTGCTCCATTGGGCTACTGCTCTGCCTTTGTTCCAGTATCATGCTGTTTTAATTATTACCGCTTTGTAGTAGAGTTTGAGGTTGGGGAAGGTGATGCCTCCTATCTTCTTTTTCCCCAGAATTACTTTAGCTATTCATGGGGGTTTGTTGTTCCATATGAATTTCAGGAGTGTTTGATCCATTTCTTTGAAGAATGTAATGGATATCCTTATAGGTATCACACTGAATCTGTATAATGCTTTGGGGAGTATTGCCATTTTGACAATGTTAATTCTCCCAATCCATGAGCAGGGGTTATGTTTCCATTTCCTTGTGTCCTCTTTTATTTCATGAAGTAACATTTTGTAATTTTCTTTGTACAGGTCCTTTATCTCCTTATGTAAGCTGATTCTGAGGTAAAGGTAAAGGTAAAGGTAAAGGCCCTCCCGTTGATCATTGATTTGCTCGAGCGGGCCCAGTAACGTCTCCATTGGAGACTTTGTTGTTACTGTGTTTGGCATATTGAATACTCTCGGTAGCTTGCCGGGCTCTCCGAGAGGGGCGGAGGAATCGAACCTGGGTCGGCCATGTTGGCCGCTTGTAAGGCGAACGCCCTACCGCTGTGCTATCGCTCCAGCCCCTGAGGTAGGGATTCTAAAATTTTAAATATTTGGGATCTGGAGGCATCTCTGTGGCATACTGCTCTCCTCTGAGATTCATTTGTGAGTCTCTGAATTGTGGCCTGCTTTTGATCTCTTTCAAGATTTATTTATGGGTCTCTGACGCAAGGTTGATAAATGATCTTGTATTGCTGAGTTAGATGTGGTTTGTGACTCAGATTTCCACTTAACTTTTGTCCATTTAATTTCTCGGGAAGCTTGGTTCCAAGTTATTGATGTCTGGCAGTTTTAGGGTATCAGGAAGCCTTAAGACACCATCAGGCTGCTGATGCACTCATCCCACAGGTACTGGTTGACCTGCTGGATGGCACTGTATCCCCTCTAGTATCATTTTTTAAAATGCATACCCCTTTCTTCCTGGAATCTGGAGAATGTTTTTAAATTTAATTTTGTATATTTGAGAACCCGAACTTTACTTAAAATTTTAAATTTTTACAACCAGTGTGATGATAGAATTCTCCTTGTCTCATGCCCCCCTCCTTAGCTCAGTACCATTCAGATGGTGCCAACCCTCTTGCCCTCTCCAACACTCACCATGCACACACAGAGTTCTCTTGATCATGAGAAATCTGCTGAACAATTTTGAAAGCGAACTAAAAAGTCTCACTCATATTGAAACTAGGTGAAATTATTTATTGAATTAACCCTATTGAATCTTTCAGGTTAATTAAATCTATTCTATTCCTGGTTTTTCTTCACAGAGGCCCATAATTTCTGTTTAGTAGTTTAACATCAGACTTGAAAGCACAGTCAATGCATTTTCAAAATCTGACAAATATGCAGGCCAATGTCCCCTTTCCCAAAATACCTATTTTTAAAACTATTGGAATTATGTGCTAAAGTAATTATGTGCCATGTTTAAGTACATTTGCCATTTATATAGTCTACATAATTCTTAAACATATAAATCTATATTTTCATAATAAAAAACTCTGAACCAATCAAAACTATATGCCATCATCTGTGAATAAAACTCTTTCTTAACTAATAATTTAGTGCCTTGACTAAGAACGCAGTCGATACATGTTAGCTAGAGGCTAAGTGATCTTTCTTTCTTTTTTTTAATGTAGAAATATTGCTATTTATTCAGCCATTGATTAGGCTGATTGTATTGGGCATGAACTCCACCTTACTTTTTTTCATTTTTATAAATTTATTTATTGAATCACTGTGAGAGCAGTTACAAAGCTTTTGGGTTTAAGTCTCAGTCATACAATGATGAAACACCTGTCCCTTCACCAGTGCCCATTTTCAACCACCAAAAAACTTCATATACACCCCATCCCACACCCTCCCCCTACCTGTGGGGCAGATCTTTTCCACATTTCTCTCTCTCTACTTTGATTTCATTCAATATTTTGGCCCCAAGCCCACCAATATTATTTGGAATTTTACCCCAACACTCAGATCTGCTAAAAAGGTAACCGTAGGCAATTTGTTTTCTATTGCTGGTTATGAATAACATATGATGTCACATGGCTGCAGTAGTGGCTGCGTGATTTTGGAATTCCAAAATTTTGACAATTAAATCTTGAGGGATTTTGGCCAAGACCTGCTGAGTTCCAAGATTTGTTCCCAAGTCTCTGGGATCACGGCCGTTAAGCAGTTTGATCAGGAACCAGAGAGGTCTTGCCTCCAATTATATAGCTGAGCCGGAGGTGGTTTGTGGATGTGTCTCCCACATACCTAACTTTTGGCTGTTTACTTTCGTGGTTGGAGTAATAGCACAGCGGGTAGGGCGTTTGCCTTGCACACAGCCGACATGGCTGACCCGGGTTCTATTCCTCCATCCCTCTTGGAAATCCTGGCAAGCTGCTGAGAGTATCTTGCCCACACGACAATGCCTGTCAAGCTACCCGGTGACGTATTCGATATGCCAAACACAGTAACAAGTGTCACAATGGAGACGTTACTGGGCCCACTAGAGCAAATTGATGAACAATGGGAGAACAGTGACAGTGACTTTCTTGGTAAACTTGGCCCCAAGTTGTTGGTGTCTGGGCAAAGTCACAGCAGCAATTTGGGGGGTATCTAGGAGTCTAAAGGCAAAATGAGGCTGCTGATGCACTCCCCTTACTGGTACAGATTGACCTGCTGGCAGCACCATACCCCGTAAGTGATGTTTCTAATAAAAAAGACTGACTGGGGCTCAAGGACAGGTTGGATGTCTTTGCCCACTGGGTTTTCCTCTAGTTAGTTACTACTAACTAGAAGCAGGTGCTCAACACTCGACTACGTATCTCTGAGCTTTCCATATCCTAAACTTCAGAGCCTCCTTGGTAGAGCAGTCACCAGGTGGAGAAATGCATGGAAAATGTTATGGACACAAAAATGTCAGAGAAAATGAGACCTGGAGATATTGAGGCAAGTGTGTCTAAATTTACAACTTGCAGACCAATTTCCCCAAATCCTCTTTAATTAAAATTTAATGAAAATATTCATTTGAATATGTCCAGGTAAGAATTTACATGATGCTTCAAAAGAAAGCAATGGTCACACGGGAATCCTGCTTAGGGAACCTCCCCACCAGCCAGCAGCTTCCCTGCAGCACCCTTCTTTGAGTTGCTTCCTGCATATTCTCCTGAGCTCAGCCAGGTGTTCTGGCCCCTGACTCTCCTTTCTAACTGCTGGAGTAAAAGGACCTGCATGTCTGCACCCGCTGCATGCACTGCAGAGGAGGCCAGGAGCCTGCGGTCTCAGAGTCAGCATCAAAGAAAGGAACTGGCCGGATTTGGGCTCACTCTTCCATCTCTGTAGACCTAACTCTACCCTTCCAGTCTCCCATCACTTTGGGACAACATCAGTGCTTCTGCTGGTCACTGTCTGGCAGAGTCGTTGAAGGGGACACCAGAGAACCGAAGCAAGAGAACCAAAGCTCTTGACCACATCTCTTTGGTTTTTTGTTTGTTTGTTTTTTTGTTTGTTTATTTATTTATTTATTTGCATTTTGGGTCATACCCAGCAATGCTCAGGGGTTACTGCTGGCTTTTCACTCAGGAATTAATCCTGACAGTGCTTGGGGGACCATAAGGGATGCCAGGGATCGAGCCTGGGGTTGGCCGCATGCAAGGCAAATGCCCTCCACTGCTGTGCTATTGCTCTGCAACCCCCCCCCCCCCCCACCGCCCTATCTCTTTGGGAGATCTGAAGCACCCTCTTTTTCTGAGCCCTGCCTGGCATGCTTCATCACTGGCCAAAGGGTCATTTTTACTCTCTTCATGCTGAAAGTGTTTTTTCTCTGCATCTTTTTTTCAATCTCTGGGAGTAAAATGCAGGTTCCCAGAAGGTCAATTGCAGAATGCTGAGGGTGTTCCTTCAGGCTTTCCCGGAGCTCAGGGGGAAACCTGGAGCTGGGACGGAGCCTCTGCTTGGTCTCATGTCTATTCGGCTGAGTTGTTCCATTCTGATCTCTAAGTCTGGTCACTTGGAGCTCTGGCCGTCAATGATCACCTTTTTTCTTTCCTGCTGCTTTGTTTTCAGGCTACCCTTTATAGCAAGCACTCCTTTGGGCCAAAATTTAGTCCCTCCCCCCCCCCCCCCGCCCCCACACACACAAATGAAAAAGAAAAAAAAAGTAAAAAGCATCAAAGGAGTTAAAGTATTTGTCCTGGTTTAATTCGGGCACAGCCTATGGCCAAATAAATAAAAACAATTTAACAACACCCATTCTGTGGTAAACTGTGTGATAATTAACACGTTGAAATTGAAAGACAAAAGTAGCAATTTAAATGCAGTGTTTTGTATAATGTGATTAACTTGTCATAGTGTTTTGAAGACTTGAAGAGGTACAGTAAAATAAAGAAAATCTATATATCTGTAGAAATACTCCAGGGCAGATGAAATTAAAAACATGTATTCCATATATTTCTTATGTAATATTTGTATTACAAATTTGTATTAAATTATGTATATTTCTTCTGTAATGCAAGTTTTAATATTAGTATATGTTTAAAATGATTTAATAATAGGTCATGGTTCTACTTTGTAATTTCTGTATAATTTGATATTTGCTACTTCATTGTTCAAATTCTTTGGGGTCCCTTCTAGTGCTCTGTGACCTGTGGCTCTGGAGTTCAGCAGAGGGACGTCTACTGCCGACTGAGAGGCATTGGTAAAGTGCCTGAGGAAATGTGCGATAAGTCCACTCGTCCTTATTTTCAGAGGCAATGTTGGAATCAGGACTGTGCACAGTACACATGGGTGGCAGAAGAATGGCTGGATGTGAGTATTGATAAGGAAATTTGGAAGGCACCTCTTCCAAGGACAAACGTGTCACTTACTTCAACACTGCCTTTCTAGTGCTCAACATCATGTAAGAAAAAGGAGACATACAGGCAAGTGAAGTGCATGAATGCACAAAACGTCCAAGTGGATGAAAGATTCTGTAATCCTTCAACAAGACCTCTTTCAGTGAAAAAGTGCAGCCCCTGCAAATATATTGTTGTAACTGGCAATTTGTCACAGGTAAGATGAAGAGAGAAAGCTGAAGCTTTTGTTCCACAAATACTCAGTATAAAATTTGAAGCTGAATCCAAATTTGGGTATGGGGACATATACTGATTTGATATTGATCTAAGGAATAAAATGCCTTAGATTTTACTTTTGGATGATAGAGTAACAGCTGGGTGACAGAAATAGAATACTAATAGCATGTCTAATAAAAGTTCTAGTGCAGTTTTGAAATGTTCATTGATGCTAACTGTGAAAGTAACTGCCAGGAAGTTTGTGAAATGGCTCTGCATAATTGACTGCTTTGGAGAAAGAAACAAGCAATTATTGAAATATAATTTACATGAAGTAAACTGTACATGTTTAAACTATACAGCTTGATAAGCATTTTTAATTATGTATGCACCCATGAAACATTACCATATTACCATATTTAAAACAAGGAGCTTCTTCATTATCCCCTGAGCTTCCTGATGCTACTTTATGTTTTCCTCCTTCCATCTCCCCACCCTACAGGTAACCTAATCATTTTTATATTAGTGATGGTGTGCGTCTTCTAGAGTTTGGTACAAAGGAAAGATACAATATTTATCACTTATTGCCTATACTTTGCCTATCTATTAAGGTTTATCAGTAGTTTTGTTTATGTCTATGGGCCATACCTGACAATTCTCAGGGGTTACTCCTGGTTCGGTGGTCAGAAATCACTACTAGAGGTGTCTGGGGACCTTTTGGGATGCCCAGAATCAAACCTCAGTTGGCCCTGTGCAAGCCAAATGCACTACCTGCTCTACTATTTTTCCAGCCCTATTTATTCCTATTGTTAAATAATATTTCATTATGTTGATATCCAGGAGTTTAGTTTATAGTTTGCTGCAGGTTGACTTTAGGTTGACCTCGCTCAAGCAAATCGACGATCAATGGGAGGGCCTTTACCTTTAGCTTTATGTTGATATCACTAATAATTTTTTCTGTGAGGTATATATCATTGATTTCAGTCTAGTCCATTTTTCAGGTTAGTTACTGAGATGTTAGAATATATATTAGAAAATATGTTAGATGTTAGAAAAGGGCAGATAAAAAGAAATTAGCATTTTTAGATAATAAAGGCCCTCCCGTTGATCGTCGATTTGCTCGAGCAGGCCCAGTAACGTCTCCATGGGAGACTTTGTTGTTACTGTGTCTGGCATATCAAATACTCTCGGTAGCTTGCCGGGCTCTCCGAGAGGGGCGGAGGAATCGAACTCGGGTCGGCCATGTTGGCCGCTTGTAAGGCGAACACCCTACCCGCTGTGCTATCGCTCCAGGAAAATGTAATTCAAGCACACAATAAGCTGATATTCATACCCCTAGGATGGTCATATTTAAAATAACAGACTTTGGTGGGAGAGAAACTGACCGCATTCTGCTCCCTGACACCACAATCCTCCCTCTGCCCCCCCAAGGCCCTGAGCACTCCCAGCATTCCCCTGGAAATGCCCTGCTCAGCACTGGGGGGGGGGGGGGGGCGGCACTGGGAATTCTCTGTACTGCAGTGCCAGGCAGCACGATGTGTTTGGATCAGCATATTGAACTGGCTCCTCGTTGACCAAGAATTTCTGGGAAGGCTCCTGGTTTTTGAGCACTGCATGGGAACATCCTCCACAATGAAAGACTTAGAAAAGTATTGATAAATCCATGAATCAATTGAAGTTCTCATATATTTTCGAATAATTTTATAATGTAATGGCCTAAGTTATGTCTTTGATTCATTTTGAATTGTTTTACATATTATATCAAGTTCCCACTGTGGCTATTCAGTTGCCCAGAATAATTTGGGTAACATACTGTAGCGATAGCACAGTGGTAGGGCATTTGCATTGCACTCAGCCAACATGGCTGACCCGAGTTCGATTCCTCCGCCCCTCTCGGAGAGCACGGCAAGCTACCGAGAGTATCTGGCCCGCACGGCAGAGCCTGGCAAGCTACCCGTGATGTATTCGATATTCCAAACACAGTAACAACAAAGTCTCCAATGGAGACGCTACTGGGCCCGCTCGAGCAAATCGATGAACAACGGGAGGACAGTTGTATTGTATCATTGAATTATCTTGACATTCTTCTTATAACAAATTAATTGACTAAAATGTACAGGTTTATTTCTGAAATAATTCTATTTTAATTCTATTCCCTATATGTACACAACACAATCTTGATTAAAGCAGATTTCATAGTAAATCTTGATAGAAAAATTATAAATTTCTGTAATAAATTTTGAAACTAAAAGTGTGAGAAACCAACTTTTTTTTCTTCTTTTTAAAGATTATTTATTTTATGTCTCACATATTCATATGTATTTTAGGATGAACTTTGAATATATTTTTTCTTTTTATCTTTGAGCTACCATGATTTACAGTACTGTTGGTGACATTAATTGTAATATGAATATCATTATTATTAATAAATTATAATGTTTAGTGGAAATGATAATGACCATACAATTAATATCAGTAACTATATATGGCTAATTATTATATATGTATATATGTGATATTATATAATGATATATACATGGCCGACCTGAGTTCAATTCCTCCACCCCTCTTGGAGAGCCTGGCAAGCTACCGAGAGTATCTCACCCACACGGCAAAGCCTGGCAAGCTCCCCATGATGTATTTGATATGCCAAACACAGTAACAATAAGTCTCACGATGGAGACGTTACTGGGCCCGCTCACGCAAATCGATAAACAATGGGAGGACAGGTCGATAGCGCTACTATATGTACTATTGTGTGTACAAGAATGAATAATTAATTAGTTGTTGGTCAGTTACATACAAGCATGTGTGTTAACCTCTGTATTATCTCTTCCACTCAAGTCTGTCATTTTGAAAATGATCTTCCTAGTGGGTATGAATATTAGCTTATTTTTGTTATTATACAATACACAATGTATATTTTGCACATTCTGTATAATAATAATATAATAGCACTGTCCTCTCGTTGTTCATTGATTTACTCAAGCGGGCACCAGTAACGTTTCACAACAAATTGTGAGACTTGTTACTGTTTTTGGCATATTGAATACATCACGGGGAGCTTGCCAGGCTTTGCCGTGTGGAAAAGATACTCTCAGTAGCTTGCTGGGCTCTCTGAGAAGGGTGGAGGAATCGAACCCGGGTCGGCCATGTTGACCGCATGCAAGGCAAATGCCTTACCCACTGTGTTATTGCTCCAGCAATTGTAGTAATATAATTATATATAACATATTCATATATAATTATAATAAAATAAAATGGTGTAGAGTCAAAATGACTGTAAGTATGGGACCCAAACTACAAGCTAAATTGTGTTTTATAAGAAGGTGGACTGAGGGTGGAAGGGAACCTGAGACATTGGAGAAAGGATGCTGAAAATTCAGCTTTTAAGTATGTCCTCTGCTATTCTACCCACTGTGGTGTTTTCAGGCTGTTGATTTTCACCATGTTCTCAGGTTATTAATTTTCAAGGCTGCTTTTATGCTTAGAGGAACGAAGGAGAATGAATCAAGTTAAAACATCAAAAGCTTTCTCTCTTTACTGAGATTTAGTCTTGTCTCTTGATGATAAGAAAGCAGCAAATTTCTGGTTATATTTAGAATCCTGATAAAGTTAGTTCTAACAAAACTTATCACCTTTTTCATTATTATATAATTCTTGCACCCATCTCTGTTTCTTCTTTGATAAAGAAATTTTCTTTGCTTCTTTGCATGACAGTTAATAATGTATTGCATGTCAGAAATTATAACTTTTAGCTTTAGTGCATTTTAATTTACACACTTTTGACAGTTATTTTTATTGGATGAAATTTTATTCTTTTTTTCTTGCTCATTTGATTTGTTAAGTGAGACTGTAACCTAATATAGGATTAATTATTCTCTGCTACTCTGGTGAGGCACTAGGTAAAGGTAAAAGGCCCTCCTGTTGATCGTCGATTTGCTCAAGCGGGCCCAGTAACGTCTCCATTGGAGACTTTGTTGTTACTGTGTCTGGCATATCGAATACTCGCGGTAGCTTGCCGGGCTCTCCGAGAGGGGCGGAGGAATCGAACTCGGGTCAGCCATGTTGGCCGCTTGTAAGGCGAACGCCCTACTGCTGTGCTATCGCTTGAGTACTTATCTATTTGTTCATCCAGTATATATAAGGTTTTCTTCATTGGCTAGAGGATACAAGCACTGGATTTGATTCTATATGAATACTAGGTGCAGTAATTGCTAAGTCTTTTGATTGTTTTTTTTTTCATTGGTATTTGCTTAGTCTCACTTGGTATCTTAGTATATATTATGTGCTGGCCAGGGCCATTTTTCTAAGTAGCTCACAATATTTTATTACATTTAATATTTGAACACCAATCCTACCACTATTACACCTTCCCACCATCATATTTTGGATGTTTCCATACCAAACCCCAATCCCTGCCCCCAAAAAGAACCAAAATGATTTAATTTGTATTGTTTGTTATGAAGAAACCACTGCAAATGCAAAAATCTTTCCTTAGAGCAGAGTGTGTGAAGATTGTTGTATTTCATCCAGGGGTCATTAAGCCCTTCTATAAGAGATCACTAATGTGTTGTTAAGGGTTGAGCCTTGTGTGTTTATATATATATGTATATATATGGATATATATGTATGCATATATATACACACATATACATATACATATAATTAAAAGTATATTTCCCTTTAAGATTTGTTGCCTTCTACTTTAAACTTCATCAAGTGTGGTGTGCTACTCTTGGAGTATGAGTGGTGTGAGGTATGAGATATCCATGAAAAGATTCACTCGTGGGTGAGGCTTGGCCAGAGCCATATGGAGAGTGGCCATGAGCATGGTGGAGGTTGAGTTCTGAAGATTTTCAGCTGCTGGGGCTGGGTCCCTCAGGATGGGGAGGGGCCTCACCCACCACTCCAGGATGCCCTGAATAAAGCAGTCTGGTGCAGGGTCCAGCAGTATGGCTATGGCAGTGTCATGTTATGCTCTCTTGCGAAAAAGAAGGATAAAGAGTCTCTGTTCATGGCAGTTGATGAGATTATCTGGCGCCAGCCAGAGGTGGTTTCTGGGTGTAACTCAAAAGTTATTATTTTGTACTGTGTGCTGAAAGTAGATAAAGGACCAAACGTGATAGCCTCTCAGTGTCTAAAAGGTAAAAGGTAAAGGCCCTCCCGTTGATCATCGATTTGCTCGAGCAGGCCCAGTAACGTCTCCATTGGAGACTTTGTTACTGTGTCTGGCATATCGAATACATCACGGGGAGCTTGCCAGGCTCTGCTGTGCGGGCGAGATACTCTCGGTAGCTTGCCGTGCTCTCTGAGAGGGGCGGAGGAATCGAACTCAGGTCGGCCATGTTGGCTGCGTGCAAGGCAAACGCCCTACCACTATGCTATCGCTCCAGCCCCTCTCAGTGTCTGTATTGCAAAAATAATGACAAAAGTAAAGAGAGTATGGGGGTAAATAGTCTGCCATAAATGCGGGGGGAGGATTGAATGGGGGGAGGATAATACTGAGGACACTGGTGGTGGAGAATGTGCACTGGTGGAGGATTGAGTGTTCGATCATTGTATGACTGAAGCTCAGCAATGAAAGTTTTGTAACTGTATCTCAAGGTGATTCAATTAAAAAAAAGATAAAAAAGTTATTATTTTGTCCATATGTTTTTGTTGAGTCGTGTTAGAAGCTAGCTTTGTTCTGTCAGTCTGCTTTATTTTAGAAGTAGAAGTTCACTTTAGGCCTATACCCTTAATTTACATCTATATCATTAACCTATTTGAATGTGCTAGCATTATACAGCACATTATATATATTAAGATAAATATTTATTAAGTTATACATAATTACTAGTAAGCTAAAACCTTGGCTAAGGTAAGAACTAATATTTTTCATTTCTTCAAAACCTGTTCTATTGGGAGACAAAGTTTTCTTCAATCAAGATATTATTGGTCATGTAAACTAAACACAAACAAACTACAAATAAACTAGTTTAAATATATTTTGTTGTTATTTTTGTTGTTTTAAGTCCACACCTAGCAGTACTTAGGGATTATTTGTGGCGCTGCTCTCAGGAATCACTCTTGGTGATTCTCAGAGGACCTTATATGAAATTAAGCATCAAACCAGGGTTGGCCTTGAGCAAAGCAGCCTTACCTTCATGTATTATAATTCTGACCACTCAACTATTATTTTTTAGTTAAATCACTGTGAGATACACAGCTACAAAGCTTTTCATGATCATTTTTTCAGTCATACCATCCTGCCACCATTGTACATTTCCTGTTGGGACTGGACTGAGCTATCAGGATGAATGCATGTAGACTGCACCACATAATGGAGAGGGACATAGGGACTCATGAAAATGGGCGAGATTTCTCGTGTGTCCTGACTGGTACCGAGAGTATCTCGCCCGCACGGCAGAGCCTGGCAAGCTACCCGTGACGTATTCGATATGCCAAACACAGTAACAACAAGTCTCAAAATGGAGACGTTACTGGGCCCGCTCGAGCAAAACGATGAATAACGGGAGGACCGTGACCGTGACCTGACTGGTTTGGATGCAGCTGAACATCTTTTTCCTTTAAGCTGCCTTCAGTAAATAATTTCATCAATTTCAGTATATTGAAAGAGTCCATTTTTCCTTTTCTCACAGAAGCTCCGCCTGGTCTTTGACTTGCAGATTCTGGGCTCTGGCCCAGCCTAGTCTTTGGGATGTAGATTTCAGGTGCTGACCCAGCCTTGTCTTTGGGATGCAAACCCAACTACTAGTAGCCCAAGAGAGGTTTCTCTTAGGTTTTATACTCTTTCCTAAGGCAAAAATGCACTGGCCTGCGGATACATGGAAACAATACATGCTTTGCCTGCCTCAAAGTTCTTTCTGTAACTTCTTTTGATGACCTCACTGTATTGAGCCATTTACAGTATGAATAATAGGATGGTAATAAAAGGAGATTTCGGGGCTCTCTATCTTTGTAACTGGTCTGAGAGAACCTGGACCCTCCATGACTTAAATTTATTTCGTGTTCCTTGTCTCAGTGCCTCTGACTGAATGAATGTTCACGCAACAATTTCCTACCACCAATGTTCTCAATATTCCTCTTGCCACATCTCCACCCCAAGCCTGAATCTATAGCAGTCACTTTTCTTCTCTCTCTCTTTCTCTATCTCTCTCTTTCTCTCTCTTCTTCCCTCTTTCTCTTTCTATCTCTCATTTCCTCCCTCCTTCCTTCCTTCTGCCACCCAATTATTTTAAATATAAATTCTTTTTTTTTATGGGTAGTTTTGGAAAAAGTATCTATTGTCCTTGAAACTGCTTACTCTCTATAAATGTAATCAATAGATAGGATTGTTGAGACATTATTAAGACCTTACAAACATTAGGCTCTAGCTAAGTTTAAGACCATCTTTTTCTTCCCTTGTAATTGTGTATTTCATTAGTGTGCAGGTAATTGTGGATTTGACTATCAGCAGAGGATTACTTACTGCATTCGAATCCAGTCTCCTGAGAAACACAAGCTTCATCAACTTTGGCCTGTGGATTATCGAGAATGCCCTGTGTTACCTTCTCCTAAGGTTTACAAATGCAATTTTAGGAACTGTTTACATATGGCCACTTGGAAAGTTGGAAAATGGAGCAAGGTCAGTATACACTTATCAATTAAAACCTAAACCAGACCTTGAAGGTGTGGACCCTTGAGTAATCTGCCTATTTAACTAAATCTTCATGGTTGATGCATATTTCTATTGTCTAAAAACACTTTTATATATCACTGTCACTGTTCTCCCGTTGTTCATCGATTTGCTCGAGCGGACCCAGTAACGTCTCCATTGTAATAATTGTTACTGTGTTTAGCATATCGAATATATCACAGGTAGCTTACCAGGCTTTGCAGTGCACGTGAGATACTCTCAGTAACTTGCCGGGCTCTCTGAGAGGGGCAAAGGAATCAAACTCGGGTCAACCATGTTGGCTGCTTGCAAGGCAAACGCCCTACTGTTGTGCTATCGCTCCAGCCAATAGAAATAAATTTTATATGTTAAAAGAGATAAATTTCTTATCTCGTTCATTATACATACTAGAACACACTTATTAGCAGAAACCATAACTAATATTTTCTTCTGTTTCTTGGAGATCTTGACAAAGCAGCTTTCACTTTGAATATATCCCCAGCATCCAGAGCACCACCAGGAAGCATTCCTAGTTCAAGCCAGGAGTAACCCCTGAGCATCCTGGCTTTGGCTCCATAACAAAACAAAACAAAAAATTTTTTTGCAATTTTTTGATTTAAGTTTATTTTAAATTAAAATTTTAATTTAGATTAATCATATTTTAATAGCCACCACTTAGTATAAGTATTTACTATATGATACTAATATAACTATACAAATCCAGTAAATTATAAGTAATAAGTTCATATATACGCTTAAGAATTTCTGCCTCCAAGGAATTCATATATATATATAGTAGCTCTTGACGATATGGATTATTCATAATGACCCAGTCCTAAAGAAGGAGACAGATTTATAGACCTTTATACATTCATTCTCTGTGTTGAAATTTTACTTCATTCATAGTGCTCAGTAACTTGTGGAGTTGGGATAATGAAGAGAAGAGTAGAATGCATGGCTGAAAATGGCTTTTCCAGTGACTTATGTTTGAAGCATTTAAAACCTTATGCTCAGAAGAAATGTTTTGCCAATGACTGTAAGTAATACTAAAAATATATCTGTAATAAATATATCTGTACTTAATGCATAAAACCTAATACCTAAAAATATATCTGTACCTAAGTGTTTCTAAGAAGTTTTAATTACATTTAAAATTAATAAATATTTTAAGAGCTATATGCTGCATGAGATGAAGTATCCAGTTTTTTTAGAATATAACAATATTTATATGGTTGAGATCAATTTATACATCCATAATTTGTTATTGAAGGTAAACTTTTTCTTGAAGATAAAACATTTATCAACTGCAAGGAAATTCAAATGAAAAACAACATTACCAAGGATGGTGACTATTATCTCAACATTAAGGGAAGAATAATAAAGGTATTACAAAAGCAGTTCCTATTTGATTTTACTGTTTTCTATTGAATTTTGAAAAAAAAGATTTGACAGATTTTTGCATTTTCTCTTTAGATATACTGTGCAGATATGCACTTGGAAAACCCCAAAGAATATATATCATTGGTCAAAATTGAAGACAACTTTTCAGAAGTATACGGTTTGAGGTGAGCTATGTTTTAACTTACATTTTTACACTCCTTCAAGAGAATGGCAAGTTTCAGAATTAGAGAACTCATTGCATAATTTTAAGAGATATTTTAGGATAGTATTTTAGGAGGAAGTGGACATAACTATATAACACAGATGTTACCTGTTCAATAATAAGTACTTAACTATTAACATATGCTCATAGAGAGATTGACCAAGAAGAATACTACCAGTGAACAGTGGAACAATATAGAGGGGAAAAATTAATTGCCTATGTATATGTTCACAGAAATAAAATTAATTCTAGTAGCAAAAGCTAAGACTATGAGCTCATTGTTTTCTCAAAACTTGACTTTGAATTTTTCATAGGGAATTTTATGTGTTAATCTTGAGTTACTTCTCATTAAACTTGAAATTATATTACTGAAGAAAATAGGTGTGTCCTCTACAATCCCAATTTCAAAAATGACCATTTTTTCTAATGAATATTCTAATATTAAACTTGATCTTCTTATTTCAGATTACAAAATCCGTATGAATGTCCTTTTAATGGAAGCAGGCGGCAAGACTGTAAATGTAAAAATGACTACCTGGCTGCTGGCTACACTGTTTTCAACAAAATAAGAATCTATCTTACCTCTATGCAAACTGAAAGTAAGTGCTAGATCTCTATTTGGAAAGTGCAAAGTCTCCATTTGCTAATGAAAGTATAACAACATGTGTAGTATTGTGGCAGCCAAGGTAGAGAGAAGAGTCTATTATTTTGCAATAATTAAATTTTATTAGTTATTAGTTATATACTTTCTCTACAATAAAATGAACATATGGATCCATAATAACAGTAGTGATAGTAACAGCAATCAGATACTGCTCTTCCAAGATAACTCCTTGTATCCTAAAATCCCAATTCCAAGGCAGAGCGATAGCACAACTGGTAGGGCATTTGCCTTGCACGTGGCCTACTGGGTTCAATTTCTCCATCCCTCTCGGAGAGCCCAAGAGTATCCCTCCCACATGGCAGAGCCTGGAAAGCTCTCTGTGGTGTATTCGATATGCCAACAACAGTAACAACAAGTCTCACCATGGAGACATTACTGGTGCCTGCTCAAGCAAATCAATGAACAACAGGAGGTCTGTGCTACAGTGCTATCCTAAAATCCCAAAGTACACAAAGGATTAAGATTCAACTACAGTTAAATCAGTTTTTGTTTTTATTTTTTGCTGGGTTTAATACAACAATTACCATAAATTTCAAGTTATATGTCAAGTATTTTCCCACAAAGTTTTTCCTTCATGTTTGAATAACCCTGTGTTAAGCAGGTATTGGATCACTTTTTTGCAAGAGATAAAATTAAGATGCACTTAAAAAAATCAAATCACTGGTCCATATATGTTCAGTTAATAGCTAGTATTACAAGAAATAAAGTTATACCCACAGACCTCAGATTAGGGAACTGAGGTTGCCCTTGTAGGAAGTGATTTTAAAACGCAGTCAAGAAGCCAGAGCAATAGTACTGTGGGTAGGGCGTGCACCTTATACATGGCAGACCAGCGCTCCACCTGTGGCATCACTTATGGTACCCCAAGTGCCAGGAGGAGTAATTCTAGACTGCAGAGCCAGGAGTGATGGCTGAGCAACGCTGGATGTAGCCACAAACCAAAATAAAAATTTAAAAATATTAGAAGAACCAGAGACATCATGTGCTTGTTAAGTTATATACCTTGCATGCAGAAGACTCTGGTTTGATCACTGTCACCACGTAAGGTCCTCTTAACACCACCAGAGTGATCCTTTAGCACAGAGACAGAAGTAAGCCTTGAGCACCACCATGTTGTGGCTCCCAAATCCAATATAAATAAATAAAAGATAGTAAAGTCAAAACCAGCTATGCAACATAACAGACATTGAGCACATTGCGGTGTCTTGCCTTAAAAGTTAGATAGCTATGTGGAAAGACAAAATAATTCATTTCAGGGGCTGGAGTGATAGCACAGCGGACAGGGCGTTTTCCTCGCATGCGACCGACCTGGGTTTGATTCCCAGCATCTCATATGGTCCCCGGAGCACCGCCAGGAGTAATTCCTAAGTGCATGAGCCAGGAGTAACCCTATGTGCATTGCCGGGTGTGACCCAAAAAGAAAAAATAAATACTTCAGAGACATGATCAGGTGGAATTGAATTATCAATATACGAGCAAAACTATATAAAATCAAAGATACTTGATGAAATGGAATGCATGCATATAAAATCTATAAATTTACAGTATGATGAATTATAATTAAATTAAAATAGTTTTACTTCACTGATTATCCATCATTACTTAAAGGTTTATTACAATTTTAAGCATAAACACTGGAAATTATTTGGTCATGCTTACAAGTTATTTGCTCTGGAATATGGTTTTTTTAAACTAAATCACTGCAAATTGCAAAGTTACAATGGTATTTATGATTGAGTTCCAGACATACATTGTTCTAACAGTCCCTTCGTTAGTGTCCACACCCTCCACCAATATCGAGTTATCCTCTCGAACATATCTACACCTGCCCCAGTGGAAAGCTTCCTATGGCAGACCAGTTCTCCTGCTTTTCCACAGGGCATTTGATATTCTACTACAAAGCTTTTTTATATTCCACATATTAGAGAAATAATTTCCAGATCTGCTCCTCTTGCTCTGGCTGATATTTATGCACCTTTAATATTAAATTCTATCCTCTGTAAAATAAGAATGTGCTACTCTATTTTTTCTTATTTCTTATTTTCCCTTTTTTTCTGTTCCTCCTTCCTTCCCTCCATCCTTCTCTACCCTGTTCTATCCTTCCTTCCTTCCTTCTTTCCTTCCTTCTTTCCTTCCTTCTTTCCTTCCTTCCTTCCTTCCTTCCTTCCTTCCTTCCTTCCTTCCTTCCTTCCTTCCTTTCCTTCTTTCTTTCAAGGGTATATTTGTGATATATCATGGAAATGTTCTGCATATAGATATCCTGCATATAGCTCTATAAACAGTGGTTGTTACTTAATAATGTATATTGTGTGGGGTGGTGAGCATTGCCAAATATATAATGGACACTCAGAAACATATTTGCAGTTTATTAAGCTGATACTTTTTTATTAGTTATACAAACTTTTCTATGGCTAAGCAATGGGCTAGCCCTGAATATCTACAAAACATGAATTTTTGACTTTCTGGTTTTATAAAACTCCATTATCTATACAAGTAAGCTATTTGTTTACATGCTTACTCTGTGAAACTGAGTACTGCAAGTGACACTATTTTGAAAAGACATTTGCATTACTATGTTCAATGCAGCACTATTCACAAATGCCCAAATCTGAAAACAACCCAAATGTCCCATATGAAGAAAGAAATTTTCTATATATGTCAAGTGATATACATATATATACATATATATATAATTGTCTAATTGTCTTTTGGCTATAAAAAAGACAAAATTCAATTTAATGCAAAGTGGATGGTATTAGAGAGTATCATTCTGAGTAAATTAATCAGAAGGAAAGGGACACAGAATGAGATCTCTCATGTGTGGTATAAAAAGAAACATAGTAAGGGAATAATAACATTCAAAGGCAAGAGATCCTAAGAACTGCTCTACAGACTAAATTTATTAAGGGTGGAGGTGGGCAGGATGGGGCCCTGGGTTAATGGTGTAGGGAAGCACATAATCTGCTGAAGGCTGTGGCATTGAAATATTATTTGTTTGAATCCCTATCATGAACAGTGTTGTAAATCATTACCTCAAAAACAAAACAAAACAAAACAAAAACAAATGTACTTCTGTCTGGATATCTGATCCAACTTTAAGTGTATGTGGACATTTATGTTGTTCAATATCCTATGGAATGTCTCTATTCTATTCTAAACTATTCTATTTCCCATTCTTCTAAACATTTAGCCCACATCCCCTCCTCTATCTTCAAATGATTAACCCACATCCCCTCCTCTATCTTCAAATTTCAAAAATTTCAAACACATTTACTCTCTTCACTCATCAGTAATATCTTTGCTTTCTATTTCACTGAGAAAATAGAGAAATTTCATAAACTATGTCATCATATTACAAACATATCTAAATCTTTACTTATAGACTTGTATTGTCATCTAAGGAAGAAATTCTTCCACTCTCCAAAATGTGAACTCCCTACTTGTGTTCATCACAATTATTTCAACAAATTTTATTATTTTAAAAAACTTTTCTTTTTATTAAATCATCAATAACATTTTTATAACTCTAATGAGATGTAGTTAATTCCCATTTTAGTTCATTCATAAGAAGCAATTGCTATTCTCATCATTTGTATCTTTATTGACACCTCTTTCCACTTTGTTTCTCACTATTTCTTAGTTGTACTATTCATACTGTTTCACAATGCTGAATGTGAAGTGGTTCAAAACACGGTCACTTCTTAGATAATTTTATTCAATTTGTAGATTCCAAATTTCATCTATTACCTGACAGTTCAAAATTTACATCACCAATGTAGACTACTAACCTCGAATTTCCATATTCTTTTATTTTTTATAATAATTTTTTTCTTGGTGTGATACCTAGAATTTATTTCTAAAGAATGCTCCTTTTTTGTTTTTTTTTTGTTGTTGTTGTGTTTTGGGGTCACAACTAGAGTTTCTCAGGTTTATTCCTGCTCTGCACTCAGGAGTTATTCCTGGTGATGCTCAGGGGATCATATGGAATGGCAGAAATCAAACTTAGATCAGCTCTGGGCAAGGCAAACACCCCACCCACTATGCTACTGCATTGCTTTGGTCCCTGAACTTCCATATTCATCTGTCTCTTAGGAAATCCAAGGTAATGTCTTAGAAGATGCTATATTCAAACCTGAACTTTCAGTGTTTAAAATTTAGCAATATCTTTAATTTAATCCTTTCTCTCAAACCTTCCTTCAATCCAACATTAAAATAGGGACAAACCTTCCTTCAATCCAACATTAAAATAGGGACAGACTCAGATCAATAGAATTGAATTGACAATCTAGAGACAAATCCTCGTGTAAATAGACATCTAATTTTTGAGAAAGGAAAAAAGTATGAAAATGGTGTTTGGAAAACTAGTCAGCAACACACAAAAGAATGAACTCAGACCCATTTCTAACACCATGCACAAAAGTCAGATCAAAAATGGATGAAATACCTCAGTATCAGACCTGAATTCATGTTACATTGAGGAACGTATAGGCAGACTTCTTCATGTTATTGAAGGTAGAGGCATTTTAATGAGTCGATGACACTAGGCATGCAAATAGAAACAAAGCTAAATAAATGAGATTGCATTATATTAAGAAACTTCTATACCTCAAAGTATATATTGACAAAAATACAAGACACCCCACAGATTGGGAGAAATTATTTACCCATCAGTCATTTGATAGTTAATATAGAAAATATATAAAGCAATACTAGAACTATACAGAGCAATCCAACCCCCTCAAAAATTGGGTAGAAGAGATGAACAGAAACTCCCTATAAGAAGACATACAAATGGATAAAAGGCACATGGAAAAAACCCAAGAAACAAACAAACAAAAAGAACAATAGACATTAGCTCATACTACAGAGAATTGCACACACACAATCAAACACACACACACACACACACACACACACACACACACAAGAATAACCAGTATTGGTATGGATGTGGGCAAAAGAAAGATAAAATCGTATCATTTTGTCCATTGATGCAAATACTTCCAAAAGAATCCATTATCCATTCATGATTAAAAACCTTTTACAAATAGGGATTTAAAAAATCTTCTCCAAAATAGTAACGGCCTTCAATAACAAATATATAGCCAGTATCATTATCAATGTTGAAAATTGAATGCATTTTCTCTGAGATCAAGCAATCATGATCTCCATGAATATCCTTTCTCTCCTCTTTTATTCAGTATACTTTTAAAAGTTATAAGAACAGCAGTCAGGCAAGAAATCAAAGTGGTTCAAGTTGGAAAAGAAGTCAAATGATCATTTTTGTCACTGTCACTGTCACTGTCCTCCCATTGTTCATCAGTTTGCTCGAGTGGGCCCAGTAACGTCTCCATCATGAGACTTGTTGTTACTGTGTTTGGCATATTGAATACGTCATGGGTAGTGTGCCAAGCTTTGCCATGCAGGCAAGATACTCTTAGTAGCTTGCTGGGCTCTCCAAAAGGGGCAGAGGAATCAAACCCGGCTGGGCCGGGCCGGCTACGTGCAAGGCAAACGCCCTACTGCTGTGCTATCACTCTAGCCCACTGCTGAAGATGACTGTTGAAGATCACTGTTGAAGATGACAAAATCACTTCACACAAAAAATATGTCACACTCCTATATGAAAAATAATAAATTATAAGAGAAAGAGATTCCATTCAAAACAGTGTCCAATATATCAATATCTTGAACTTAAAAAAAAGTTAAATACCTAAGCTACAAAACTATAAATTATTTATGAAAATAATTTGAAGAAGTTCTCAGGATATAGGAAAATATTCTATGTTCATGGTTTAGAAGAATATTGTCAAAATCCTACCTAAATTAAACCATTCTACCTAAATTTTTATATAGGTTCAATACAATTCTCTCATGAAAATTCTGACAGCATTGTTCAAGGAATTAGTTTGAATAAACACTAGTGAAGTTTGTATGGAATCATAAAGACACCTAGAAATCTAGCAATAAAAATAACATGGTACTTGAGTAAGAATAGATTCTAAGAGCAACAGGTTAGAGTTTAAAACTCAGATATATCCCCTGCATCTAAGGTCAACTGTTTTGGAGGTGTGGTATATATATCTTGAATATTGGCATACTGGTTCTAGCATACCAGATTGTCCAAGCTATAGGGTCACCTGGGCAGCCATCAGTGGTCACAAGGGCAGGCCATTTATTCCATACAATATCGCTTCCCCACCCAGGTTCCAGACATGTCAGCCATTTTTTAAGTTGAAGAGACTTTAATGACAGTTAATAAGCAGTGGTGGAGTGTGGTGTTGGAAAATTGTTTACATGACACATTATTACTGACAGTATTGTAAATAACCATAATATGACTTAAAAACTTAAGATGAAAAACAATAATATAATAATAAAAATAGTATTTTTGCTGACAGTAGCCTAAATAAATTGATGCTCATGTTGTCTATCAGCCCCTACATATTGCTTTATCATAATTTTTATGTTAAAATATTGCTTAGTAATTTTTCTCCTGATTCTACTTCATCTATTTTAGGTATTTACTATGATATCAAATGTTATTAATATTTTATTCATTTTTAAACTTCTGATTTTCATTAGAGTAATTTCTCTTTTTAGGGCAACATATGTTATAGAATTTTTTGCAAAAATAAAAAATTATGGTTCCTCTTCTACATTCCTGCCAACTCATCAATGGTTTGTGGGAGTGTCATCTGGTCCACCCTCTATGGAAAACTGGAGATGTCTTAAAAATTCTAGAATTGAACTTCTATATTTCCAAGCAATTTCAATTATAGCATTTTCCTAAGAGCTAATAGAGTATTTAAAAAATAATTTTCACCTTTGGGGCCAGAGAGATAGTATAATGGGTAGGAGGTTTGCCTGGCATGTGGTGACACGCATTTGATTCCTTGCGCTTGATATTCCTGGCATTGCCAGGAGTAATTCTTGAGTGCAAAGTTAAGAGTAACCCCTTAACATTGCTGGGTGTGGCATAAAAATCAAAAACAAAAAAAAAACACATAAAATATATTTGCACTCCTTTGTTTATTGCAGCTTTATTCACAGTAACTGAGGTATGGAAACTTGCTCTACTATGAAAGAATAAATGAATCGATAAAGTTAAACAATGGAATCTTGCTTAGCTCCAATTAAAGATGAAATCATGCAGTTTTCAGCACTGTGGGAAGAATTAGGGCATCATTTTGAATGGGATCCATTAGAGGGGTAGCGACAAATAAAGAATGGTTTCACTCACACTTGGAATATAAAGAAACTTAGTAAAAGAATAAAAGTTGGAGAATGGTGACCTTGAAATCAGATAACAGAATAGTGTCTGACAATATGGGAGGAGGAGCAGTGTGAAATGAGAGAGATCGTTGTGGCTTCAGTCAAGGGGCACTGACAGTATGTTGATGGTTGTGGTATTAGAACAACATGTGTGTAAATCTCAATTATAGTGCTTTGATCAAAACTAAAAGTTATGAGGAGTCTGATATATATTACTATTATAAGTGCATGACATTTTTCTCATTTTTTAAAATTATAGTATATATATATTTAACACCATAATATGAAGACTATATTTTACAATAGAAACTAGAGAGCATATAATATATTTATGCTAAAAGCTTTATTTATTATTTTTAGCTACGGATCTGCGTTTTGCTCAGACAGTGTATGGAAAGGCAGTGCCCTTTGCCACAGCTGGAGACTGTTACAGTGCCTCCAGGTGCCCACAGGTATATCATATTCGACCTTTTGCTTCAGTATTAAAAATTAGTATTATTTTTTCTTTGTGTTTTTTCATTTTTATTTTATTAAGACAGTGATTTACAAAGTTGTTCATATCAGAGTTGTTTCATTCATACAATGTTTCAATACCAGTGCCTCCACTAATGTCCCCTTCCCTCAAAAGATGTCTCCATGTTCCCTCCTACCCAACAGCTTGATCCCTTCACTGGCATATAGCAATTTATTTCCTATTACTTGTGCCAACAAAACTTAAGTGGATGACTAATGGAATTATCAGAAAATAAAACAATAAAAGTCAATTAATGATGATCAATTCCATATGATATTAACCTATGTAAAGAAATTTAAATCATTTAATAGTATATTGTATACAGTATACATTGTATAGAACAATATATATGGTATACATAGTACGGTAGCATAGTATAGTACTGTATACTATACACACTATAACTATATAGTAATGTTTACTATAGGATCATATACTATACACTGTACCCTCTATTCTTATTTATATAACACAACTCTATCATTATTTATATAACTAAGTTTCAATTCTGCACCTCAAAAGAAACAGTGACCAAATACAGAGAGAGCCCATGAATGGGAAAGAATATTTACCCAATACCCATCTGATGGGCTGGAGTGATAGCACACCAGTAGGGCATTTGCCTTGCACGTAGCCAACATGGCTGACCCGAGTTTGATTCCTCCGCCCCTCTTGGAGAGCCCGGCAAGCTACCGAGAGTATCGTGCCTCCACGGCAGAGCCTGGCAAACTACCCATGATGTATTCGATATGCCAAACACAGTAACAACTAAGTCTCCAATGGAGACATTACTGGGCCCGCTTGAGCAAATCGATGAACAATGGGAGGACAGTGACAGGACAGTGACATGACAGTGACCCATCTGATAAGGGGTTAATATTCAGGATATACAAGACACTAGTAGAATTGTAGGAGAAAAAAATCCTCCAACCTCATCAAAAAATGGGGAGAAGAAATGAACAGGAGCTTCCTCAAAAAAGAAATGTGGCCAAAAGACACATGAAAAAATGCTATATGTCACTAATCATCAGGGAGATGCAATCAGAACAACAATAAGATATCTCACACCACAGAGACTGGCATACATCAAAAAGAGCAAGAACAGCCAGCACTGGCGCAGATGTGGAGAGAAAGAGACACTCTTTCATTGTTGGTGGGAATGCCGACTAGTCTAGCCTTTTTGGAGAACAGTATGGGATTTCCTTCAAAAACTAGAAATTGAGCTTCCATCACTGTATCACTGTATCACTGTCTTCCTGTTGTTTATTGATTTCCTCGAGCAGGCACCATAACGTCTCCATTCATCCTAGCCCTGAGATTTTAGCAAGTGCCACATTGGAGGCTCTTTCAGGGTCAGAGGAATGAGACCTATTATTGTTACTGGGTTTTGGCATAGGAATACACCACAGGGAGCTTGCCAGACTCTGCCATGTGGGCAGGATACTCTCGGTAGCCTGCCAGGTTCTCCAAGAGTGAGAACTAGACAATAAGAGGTTGTGTGGCTGCGAATGAGGCTGCATGCTTCTGGGAGCTTGGTTTTACAATCTCTGGATTTTGGCAGTTGATGGGATTACACGGCACTGTAACAGTTGGTGGGTGTGACTGTCTAACTACTGGAAGATGGGGGATCTGGGTGGAGGAGGCCCAGTCCTGATCTGAGCAGGCTTGGAGATTTTAGCCCCTGGTCCCACAAACCTGGGTTCCTCTGCCGGTTTCATCATGTATGAGGTTCGCCTGAGCAGGTGGAGAGTGCTCTTGAGAATGGCTGTGGCTGGATTCTGGAGGTTTTTAGCTGCAGGGGTTCTGCTTGGGACAGGAAAGGAAACTCAACCTGCCCCCCTCCAAGGGGCACCAGTGAAGACAGCCAGGCATGGGGGGCAGGAGACTCTGCATTGTTCTCTTCTGGGAGTTTGGTTTTATAGTCTCTGGATCTTGGCCGCTGATGGGATTACTTCCATATGACCCAGCAGTACCACTTCTGAGAATATATCCTGAGGGTACCAAAAAATCACAGTAGAAATGACATCTACACCTATATGTTCATTGCAGTACTGTTCATAATAGCCAGAATGTGGAAACAAACCAAGTGCCCAAGAACAGATGACTGGCTAAAGAAACATTGGTACATCTACACAGTGGTGTACTGTGCAGCTGTTAGAAAAGATGAACTCATGAAATTTGCTTATAAGTAGATAGACATGGAGAGTATCATGCTAAGTGATATGAGTCAGAAAGAGAGAGACAGGCATATATTGACAGCACTCATTTGTGAAATATAAAATTACATAATATGAGACTGATACCCAAGGACAGTAGACACAAAGGCCAGGAATATTGCCCCATGAGCTGGGGGAGAAGGCAGCTGGAATAGAGAAGGGATCCCTAAATCAATGATGGTTGAAGGGATAGTTCAGAATGGGAAATGTGTGCTGAAAGTAGATAAAGGACAAACATGATAGCCTCTTAGTATATATGTTTCAGCCCATAATGCCCCAAAGAAGAGAGAAAATATAAGGGAAATTGTCTGCCATAGAGACAGGGGGAGGGATGGGTCGGGTGGGGAGTACTGGGGATATTGGTGGTGAAAAATGTGCACTGGTGGAGGGATAGGTTTTTTTATCATTGTATGACTGAAACTCAAACATTAAAGCTTTGTAACTGTATTTCACAGTGATTCAATTAAAAAAATTTTCATTTAATTAATGGCAATTAATGAAAGGATATATACATGCAAGGTAAAGGAATAAAAAGTATCTTTCATGAAATAATGCTAACAACTGGTTTGTAACATACCCAGAAAAGCTCTCTATTAAATAATAATTTATAATGTTAAATAATTAAATAATGATAGGTAATGTCTTTATTCCTTTTTATTTTTCAGTTTTATTTACATTATCTTTTTATTACTTCATTTTCAGTTTCATTTACATTATCTTTCTGTCATACGTGGACAGAATGTGCTATCTAGGAAAAAATTACTTAACACTTAACTTAATCACTTAACTTCCCGTTAGTCGTCGATTTGCTCGAGCGGGCGCCAGTAACGTCTCCATTTGTCCCTGTCGCGTGCTAGTGTAGCCCAATGGCATCTCTTCGCTCCGGGAACATGGAGGGCCTCAAACCGATCGTTCATGATCTTGACAAAGAAGTCTGACCATCTGGTAGGTGGGCGGCCACGTGGTCTCTTGACATCCCGTGGAATCCAATCAGTAACAGCTCTAGTCCAACGGTCGTCTTTAAATCTCATTACGTGACCAGCCCATCTGATTTTCGACACCTTGGCATATGAGACAGCGTCCCTGATCCTTGATCGTCTACGGATGTCAGAACTCCGGATTCGTTCTCTCATTTGAGTGAAACGTGTTATTCCAAGCATAGCTCTTTCTATTCTTCTTTGGGAGACCTGAATGGCGTTCTCATCTTGTTTGCTTAGGGCCCAGGTATCTGAGGCATATGTTAATGCAGGAAGAACAGTGGAATCAAAGAGATGTGCCCGGAGCCGGAGGTTCTTCGTCCTCTTAGCTATTTCTTCGACGTTCTTGAAGGCGTTCCAAGCTGCTCTCTTCCTCCTGCGCAGCTCGGGTGCCAGGTCATTTGTCATGTTGACCTCTCGACCTAGGTACACATAGCTGTTGCATTCGGAGATGGTTGTTCCATTGAGAGCGAATGGGGCGTCAGGAACAAGGCTGTTTCTCATAAACATTGTCTTCGTAAGATTCAGCTGTAGTCCTACCTTTCCACACTCACGGTCAAAGTCGGCCAGCATTTGTGCCGCTTGGCTGATGTTTGGTGTTATTAAAACAATGTCATCAGCAAAGCGGAGGTGGTGTAGTTGCCGACCATCTATCTTCACTCCCATTCCTTCCCATTCCAGTCGTCGCATGATGTTCTCGAGGGTGGCACTGAAGAGTTTCGGTGAAATGGTATCACCCTGCCGCACCCCTCTCTTGACATCAACGATCACTTCTTTGTAGAATGGTGAGATCCTGGTAGTGAATCCGCAATACAGCTCACGGAGGATCCTGATGTATTGTGCTTGAATGCCCTGATTGTCTAGGGCTTCAATGACCGCTTCCCTCTCAACAGAATCAAAGGCCTTCTTTAAATCAATGAACGTTAAGCACAGCGGCATCTTGAACTCCCAAGAAACCTCAATGAGCTTGGTTATCGTGTGGATATGGTCGATGGTGCTGAATCCTTTGCGGAACCCTACTTGCTCGCATGGTTGTCCTTCATCTAGTGTTCTGCCAATCCTATTCAGGATGACTCGAGTGAACAGCTTGTAGATGACAGACAATAGGCAGATCGGGCGATAGTTGCCAATGTCATGGATGTCTCCCTTCTTGAACAGTAGTACGGTCCTGCTGGTTTTCCATTGGGACGGAACCTTGCATTCAGACAGGTAGCGAGTGAAGAGCCGAGCCAGTGTATTGATGAGTACTGATGGCAGGTTCTTCAGGTGTTCAGGTCTCACCTTGTCTGGGCCGGGTGCTGTTTGCTTCTTTACCAACGAAATGGCGTGTCGGATTTCGGAAGGGAGAACGTTAGGAACGACATACCCATCCTGTGGAATTTGGTATGTTGGCAAGTGGACATGGCTATCGAAGAGATTTGAGTAGAAGTCATGGATAATCTTCTCCATTGCCGTTCTGGAGGATGTGATGGATCCATCAGGACGTCGGAGGGCAGTCATCTTGCTCTTATAGTTGGCGAAGGACAGGCGGGCCTTACGAATACTTTTCCCGGCTTCTGCCACATCTACCAGTACTTCTGCTCTTCTCTCTTTGAGGTCTTCCTTGATCGCATCTCTGCACTGCTTTGCAAGCTCGGACGTTAGCTTGCGGTTGCCTGAGGCATGCGCCAAACCACGCTGGCGAATTAGCTCAAGAGTTTTCGAAGATAGGCGACTTTTTGTGGCTATCTCTCTCTTGGCGTTCC